AAAAAAAAAAAAAAAAAAAAAAAAAAAAAAAAAAAAAAACAAAAAAACTGGACCATCGGAGGAGGATGAGTCGACGTCCTCTTCGGAGACGGTTGGCAAAAAATTGAGTGCGGCCACCATCAGATTACCAGAATGAACAATAGCCATCAGTGAGCCTGGATATTCATGATCTGCGGCTCCCTGAAATTAAGCTGCACTGGGTTTATTTGAACCAGCGCATGCTAACTTAGGACTGTCTTTCATTTTTTCGACGCGGCTCGTAGCAGGCCACCAAAAATACCAACCACGTAAGGTATCAAAGCGGAAGGAGGGTGCTGCGACTGCTTACTGCTACTCGGACAAGAAACGGGTACCACAAAGATGGCTGCAGTGCAAAACAAGAAGTCAGAACAAATCAGAACTACAAGGTATCTGGATGAGGTCGAAACACTTGCTTCGCAGCATACTCTGTTTTCTAATAATGTCTGCTTTGCTGTGATATCCAGAATGCAGGACAGGTGTTAGTTCCAAAATCTGAATGATCTGCATCTGTAGACAGTCGAAAAATTCCCCGTCGGTTACGGGTATGTGCTGACCGCACCCCTCATAGATTTGATTTAGCAGGTGGGCCTTCCTTGCCCTTTATAGTGAACAAACTTTGAATTATTACAAAGAATCCGCAAGAGGAACCGTGACCTTCGACACTCTGAAATGAGGCCAGCGAAGCGGTGTGGGGGATGAAACTGGGATGACCGAGTCCGTAAACAATATCTAAGTAGACAGTATAAATTGATAAAGCATATGAGTTGTTAACTGTAAAACAAGATACACAAAAATTACGCTCTAGAAATACTTAAACATATTTTTAAATATCAGTTAAAACCCATTCCGCACTCGCTCTTCATGGGAAGCGGAGACATTCGGAAATATTCCGATGACAGTGAGTGTAATTAGCAACCATTCGCTGGCAAGACTGTCAATGGCGGTCTGTTCCGCGGATGTTTGCAAGCAAGTTTGACTTCCTAGCATATGTCAGTACCAATTTACCATCAAAACTTTTGAAGAAATCTCAGCGGTAGAAGGACTGGATGTTCTGCTAAGGAAGGAAGTCGACCTCAGGGGCCTTCAATGCGACAGCAGTGTTACTCTTCACTGCCGTGTCTGCCATCATTTATTTCATCATATTGTTTGTTATTTTTAAAGCATACCGTTTTGTTATTTTCGTCCCGTTTAGAAGGTAGACTCGTGATGAAGCCTCATGAGTATACCCACTCACAACCCTGGTCCCACTTGACCAGTGACTCTTAAAGGCAGCATGACTGGGACAAAATTAAAGCGTTTCTGGCAAATTTTTTATAAAGCAGTAAAGAACCTCTCAGAGACGAATGGCGTCTACGGCGAGAAAGGAAGCCGCAACAGGAGGCAGCAGTCCGGGTTACTCAGCACGCCAGCATTCCTGGATTCCAGCCAGCACTTGAACAACAACAAATTCAATTCGCACACCCCACAACCGTATGTCACATGCGGACAACAATACTTCGACGTAGCTTCGCAGCGTGGCAGGGTGCCTTGGGAAGCGATTATCCTCAATTCCTACGAGCTGGCCGATCAATCCTGAGACGTATATGTATGTATGTGTGTGTATGTATGTACGTATGTTTGTGTGTGTGTCTGTGTGTTCCACTGCAAAACCACTGGACTCTGCACAGCACCAACTGGCTGGTGGCTGCCGCACTGCTGACACATCAGCATCAACCGTTTCGTTTCAGAAATCACAATTTTAACAACTGCAGTAAAGCGTGTCAAATTTAGAGTGCAGAAGTGAAACGGCGTATGGTTTCCTGAACAACTAATACAATCGATGGGGAAGCGGTCGAGAGCATGGATAAGTGCATCAAAGAGTGGTACCAGTACTTTCCAGCAGATGCATCCTTCATCCCCCTCCACGAATGACGCGGACTCTCGCTGCTATCCTGCGCGTGAACGAAAATAAAAATAATTGGCCAACGCACGGGCTGCCCGTGCGAAGATGCGTTTTTTGCATAGCTCTCCGCAGATTTTTGTCGCTAACAGCCCTGGTTTTTCCGGCAGATGCTTCTAGCTAAAAGAATTTCAGATTGACCGCCAGGGCTGTCAGGAAATATCCCTTCAAAATCCCAGTCTTCTAGCTTCTCACTTTCTTGAGTTAGCAACTTACCCGGAAGAAACTTTCAAGGGCCTGTACGTAGGTACCACGCTTACTCGCGGGTAAGGTTTGAACTCTACTTGGGCAGAGAACATCCCCCTAAGATTTCAGCGTTCCAGCTTCTCAGATCCCCGAGTTATGAATTTACCCGAAAAAAATTTTGGACGGCCCGTGTGCGGGTACCACGTTTACCCGTGGGATGAATTCGAGTGCATTAATACCTAGTTGGACGGGAAATATTACCCTAAGGTTTCAGCTTTTTAGCTTCTCAGATCCCCGAGTTATGAACTTACCCCAAAAAAACTTTGTCGGGCCCGTACGCGGGTACCACGCGAGTTTTGGCGCCCATTTTGGGGATTGGGGCCGGCACGTGCATATTGATTAAGTTTCCGGAATTTCAGCTCCGCAGCTTTTATAGGTCTTGAGATGAAAGTGCGTGACAGACGCACACACAGACGCACAGACACACGGACAAACAGACAATCCCTCGTCAATATGCGTTTTCTGCATTGCATAGCTGCAAAAAACGCATAATAAAAACAGCCAGGCGCACCAGTAACGACAGTTTAGTGATGCGTCTCAACAAAAGTTTGTGCCATTAGCACATAATGGCTGAATATTGCGGCGCATGCAGGAGAAGGTGGAAACACCTCATTCCGATGACCTTTTGACCTGTTCAACGCATGCTGGACACCAAACTCACCCGGAACCCTTGCTCCCTCCTGTAAACAACTACTGAAACTGAGTTAATTTACAGCTGAAGACACTTTGCCGGAATCCAGAAACTGACTTTGGTTAATCAGTGTGCATCAATAATAAAGATGGAAACATTTTCATTACAACTAATAAGCCACGCTACAAAATTTAGTATCTGCCTGTGTCTCGTTTCATACTAGAATCACCAAATGGCCTGAGGCCATTGATCATAGTGTAGTAAGATTTGAAAGCTGTTAGGTTGCCACTTGTTAGTTCCTAGCAGTCAGGTCAGGATTGGATGCATTAAAAAGCAAAGACTAGACGGGGAAGAACGACAATTGAGGGAGAGCAGAAGGGGAGAGTGAGGTAAAATGTTTCGGTCCTTTAAATCATATATCTCTTAACTCAGCACTGCAAGTGGACCTGGTCTGCATTACGGTTGCAGCGGTTCTAGGAAAGAAGGAAAAAATAGAGAGAGGGAAAGATGTTATATTTTCAGAGAATTATATTTTTAAAAACTCCAGTTTGCAGTTTTCCCATATGTGAAGCTTCAAACAGTATTAACTGAAAATCAGGCTCAAGGATCAACACAAAAAGGAAACAAATTAGAGCATTTAAAAAACCAGCATGTAGGCCGGTCCACTACCAGAGATTCTGCACCTACAGTTTAGATCTTCTGGGTGTTCAAATTGAACTCTCTAGATAAACGCAAG